ACACCCTTACAAGCATAACCAAGCCTTCCCCACCCAATTGAAAAAATGTGGCATCACGGTGGCGCAGCGGTTAGCGCTGCGTCTGCACAGAGACCCTCTGTGTGGAGTTTGCATGGTCTCCCCGTGTTTGCGTGGGTTTTCCCCGGGCGCTCCGGTTCCCCCCACATCTCCTAAAACATGCAGGTCAGGTCAGTTGGTCGCTGCAAATCGCCCCCAAAAAGAAACTTACTTAACACACAAACACACACACACACACACGCACACCACACACACACACACACACACACACCCCCCATGGGCTGCCACCTTATCGTTGTGGGGGGGTTTGCGTGTCCCAGTGATCCTAGGTTCTGCTGCCCAGTGCAGACGGGTTCTAGGTGAGGGACCAGACCAAGTGCAGCCCAAAGATCCCTTATGATGATACGACCGTTGGAAACAGGGGTTGTTCTCTCCGTACATGAGGTCCCACCCTGGAGCCACACTGGCCTGGGGCTGGGGCACGCTGGGGAGCCCCTGGTGGCCGGTGGTGGTATGACAATAAAAACCCTTGAATCCCTGAACTATATCAACAATATGTGCACCAAGCAATACATACACTTAGCATTCCACAGATAAATGCTTTTAATCTGGTTAAGAATAATAATTGTACTGTCAATAAATGAGGCCTAATCGATGTTCTTAGTGACCAGAGGAACAATAAGGCCTTAATCAGCCCGGAGGTTCAAACTGATGAAACATGAGGATGGAGGCTCTCTATTAAAACATTCCTCACCATCTTCCATGTTCTTTCAGCAAACAGTTGAGACAGAGCTGGTTTTGGTTCCACCACTATTGACCTGCTGCTTTAGCCGCCATTGAAAGTTTTCTTAAAAGTCTGTCAGTCTGCAGATCATGTGACCAAACCAGAAAACACACTGGAAACATAGAGTACAGCATTCTTTGTTTGAACTGGCAGCCATCTTGGTAGGCGGCTGCTATGACAACAATAAACAAGCCACAACAACACCTCAACATTACAACCGTTGTTTACGTCTATTTATGACACATTTTTTTCCCACTCTCGTTTTCTATCTGGCACCAAATGGAAATGAGTCGGATGTTCCTGATATACGGGATAAAAACAATGAATCATGAATTATTCTTGTTTTGAATGTAAACAAGAATAAAGAGGAGGATAATTGGTGGTGGAATGATGTCACTCCACCAGCAAAGAGAGATTCTGTGACTTACTTAGCACACACACAGACGCACGCACGCCCCACGACCGTTTTTCAGATCTAAAATGAACTGCAAAATCAACTATGAACCAGTCGGGTGCCTAGGGATGAATACAACTCTTCCATTACAGACACCTTTTAATGTTGTCATGGTACATCTGACTTGCTGTGCTCGTAATTTCATTTATCTCGAGGGCTGGAATGCCATTATATCTGGTTCAGACTTTGCAACACACAGCTCACAAAAGAGTACAAACAGCAAGCAAGGAAAATTTATTCCAAATGAAAAAGATTTAAAAATCCTTTCCTGGATTTGTCAAGCTGGGCTTAGTTTTCTGCAACATGTTGGCAACAACATAAAGGAAATTTGGAATAAAGAAGCAATATACTGCAGGTAAAAGAAACAAAACTCTGTGAGGCGTGAAAGGTGTCTGACATCTGTCAGATGGCAGGATTGCTAAATCTTATTCCTGCAAATCAGCCGTAGCTTTGTTGATACTTTCAGAATCAGAAGGACACACAAACTCTGCCTTGCACGCATTAAACATGTGCAAAGTCTTTGATTTTTATTCATTGATATGATATATCCTAATGGATTTATCCTCTTCCAGATTCACTGTATTCATAAATTGCTTGTAATCTTTAGACAAATGTAGCAATATTCATGGTAGCTTCATTTTGGAATAACACCACCCTTATGTTTTTGTTGTTTTGAAAGTAAAGTAAAACTTGTTTCCCTTTTTAATAAGCATACTGCAGCATCCGGCTTTTACTCCACAGGGGCTCAAAAATCTACTAATAACACATTTTAAGTTTCATAATGCTTACATAGCCAAACTTCCCTATTTCTTAATGATACAGCAAACTATTAGAATCCGGTTCAGAAGCCTGAAAGGAAGCACATGAAATCCTTCTTTCATGAAGAACAGATTATAGACAGGATTATTCAAATGCAACTATTTTTCAGAGCAGCAGTGATGTGTCATCCTTATTCTCTTTGAGTCGGTGTATTTTTCTAGTCACTCTTTTTTTCCTCACCCTGTCCCATGCATTCATACATTTTATACTTGTCCACACAGTTAATTTTTAAATGTGTGTGCTGGATAATGCTTTCTTTCTGAAGAAAATACAGAAATCTCTACTTTGCCCAAATTCAATTTGATGCTGTATGTCCATGGCTTCATTCTGTTCTTCCTTTTGTAACTTGCCTTCAGACAAAGTTGTTTTTCCACAATCTGTCTCATTAACAAAAATAGTTTTTTTTCCCCCTTTGCTTCTCGTCTTTGTGAGAATGGTGACACTATCTGACAATGCACACTGAGTGCTGACACTCTGCTGACAAGCAATGACAGCAATGAGTGTCGAAAAGAAGCACAAGGTACTTTGTCTTAATGAGCTGCCATACAGTTTGAGTTCTCCTCCACCTGTTATACAAGTTATCTCTCTTTATGCTTCCTGGGACTGGTTTCTGCATCCAACTGTCTTCTTTTATGTTTCTACTTATGCTGTCTTAAAAAGAGAGACAAAGAGCCAAGAAAACATATGCCACCTTTTATATTCACTTAGTAAAACAAAGAAAAAATGTTTAGACTATCTTTATTACACAAACAAGTTTTTTTTTTTGAGTAAATTCAATGTTTACAATAAATTGGTGCCCAGACCAATCAAGAAGATGTCATGTGTGTCATTCAAAGATATTTTACAGTGGTTGTAGTTCAGATTTATAGATGTTCTGCAATGTAGTTGTCTCTACTTTCTCAAGCAGTAAAGTCTTCTAAAATGTTTATAATTTTTTCAAACATGGGATTTTTGATCTGGATGATATGACTCATCATGGGTATTATTACAGTACATAGGGGGTAAGCATAAGAACTGTAACATTAAAGTTAATCTTATTACTTTGTGTTAAGAGAGAGTATTTCTGATTTACTTTTGCTTTTTTCTCTTAACTGAATGCATGTATAAACTTTTTCACCACCTGCAACGACCAATTTCGTAGAAAAGATGATGTATCTCAATGGGACATTACTAGTGAAATAAAATAAATCATGAAGTCCTATTTAGTGCTAAATTAGAAAGTCATTCCATTACTTTTAGAATCTGGACTGCATTTAATCATCTCTACTGCAAAAATAACATATTTAGGTGATGGTAGCTTGTATATTGTATGCTGAATGGTATTTACATGACTTCATTTTAACTGTATGCAAGCATAAAAATAGAGTTTTTTTGGCATTAGAGACACCTTAGATTAAGACAAGGGTGACAGCCACATTACATAAATTTGGTCAGTCATGGACTGAATTATTCTACACTGATTTTAGTCCTTAGAACAAATTTTTCACATGCAAAACCTTTTTTTTCTAATTGTGAAAAAATGGGTGTTGGACACTAAAGAGGTGTTTGCCATGGTTACTATTCATGCATGAAATACCACTAAGAAAAGAACAATAAGTGTACTGAGTCTTCCATTCAATGGCCTGATAAGCACCAACTCATTACTTTGCTGATATTATTTCAAAGCAGCTATCAGACAGTAAGATGACTGATTAAGACTGTGCAGATGACTTACTGTTTTTTTTTTTGTTTGTTTGTTGTTATTTTGTTTTTTCTAAGGAGATAAGATGTTTCTTTGAACCAGATTAAATTGACAAAGAACCACCAGTTCTAAAGAGAATAGATGATACAAGTATGGAAACTCCTGAAAGAACTGAATCTACATGGTGCTGCAAATGTGATAACTATTTTCTAATGTCATTATGTCCTGACTACTAATGCTGACATGACTGGAACTTGGCAAAGGCACGAGCTCAGTCTATCTGGCAGGGACTCCAGAGTTATACTGTTAGCCCGTTTCACCCGATATCCAAAGTATCATGTTTTGAGCAGGGATAGGATTCAACTTTTTTTCTTCTTTTTTTTTTCCCCAAAACTTATTTAGAAAAAAATATACAAAAAGCATTATGGCACTCCTGTATTTTAAAAAAACACTCCTTCTAAGGGGAAGATTCACAAAGTAGTCTCTAAACCATCTGTTTTCAGATGTTGAGTCTCTTACTTCCTGTCATTCAGGATTAATGACAGAAATTTCATTACACACAGGGAGAGCCAAAGATGCCTTGTTTCTTGCTGATGCAGTTATTCCATGAATTCTGCTTCAAAGAAATTATTTTTTTTCTCTCATGAGCATTGCATCTGTGCTTTCTGGTGTCTAACCACATGTTGGACCACAGATCTACCATAGACAAAAAAAAAAACAGACTTTAGAAAAAAGTGACCTTGTCTCTTTTGGCCCACATTAACGGCCTCTGCCGCGGAGACACTTCACTAATGCACAGTAATCCTCCAACACAATGACCCCAATCCTTTAAATCTGTCAACAGAGAAGCTGATGCTCCAGATTAGAGATCCAGCTGCAATGATACCAGGGGACTCTATTCCTTTCTTGTCCATAAACTCTGTTATTTATAGTTTAAATTTCCTCTTAATGTGTAAGGCTCTCCTCTGGGATTTTATTAGGCCTAAATGAAATGCAGCTGAAAGTGATTACATTTGTTTGAGGTGAAATTTTTCTTGATGTGACAAAGTCTGCTTAAATGTGATCAAACCAACCTTGACACGCAGAAATCAAATGTTTGGCTAATATGGCAAGAAATGAATGATACAGAGAAAAAGAAGCAATGTGATGAAACATTGGAATAAAAGACATAATCAAGCATGTAGTATTATTACTTATATACAGAAAATATGCATTTATTAACAAATTAATTCTGTACTTGAAATTCAATTATATTAAACATTGCTGCACCAAAGTTAATATGGAAAAGACAATTGGTAGCAACAAGGAAATTACACAAAAGATTCCTATTATATTAAAATTAATTTTTATCATCACTCTAAATCTGCAGCTGTTTCCAGAGAGTGGCTTGTGCGATGTCACGTCCGCAGCGGCAAATTCATGTTGTGCATGGCATCAGATTATCTGGTTTTCTTTAAGCTGCAAATAGTGTTTATTCATCACAGCTTGCAGAATGTAATTTTGAGCTGCGCTCACCTCAGAGACACGGGGAGGAGTGGAAATGGAAAAAAATGAGCCATGAGTTATCGTATGTAGGCCTCCATCTTTGATAAAATACCTGTAATTCTTTAGGGGTGGAACCAGGATGCAAGAAATGAGGGACATCTGTCGTCTTGTTTTTTGTTTTTTTGTTTTTGTCTGTTTTTTTTATAGTGCAGCAGTACTGAATCCTAAAACTTTCAGGCCCATCCAACATGGTGGCATTTTGGAGAATGATGACATCAGAGGTAAATCACATTCAGGAGTGATTAAGACAATTAAATCCCCTTGATTCCTGGCAAAGCTTTCACGGTATTATCCTAACAATTTGCTGTGTTCTTCTTGGAATTCCTATGTGAAATTAGTGATTCAATAAAGCTTCAAATGAGATATAAGAACTTTGTCAGGAAATTGCACACATCATTTTTCTTTAAAATCATGAGGATGTTACATAAAAAAGGCATCATATTTTTTGCAACCACGGGAGAAACATTTCAAATGAATGTGTGCTGTTCTGTGACAGTTTCTTCCCCTTAGTTTTGTTTTCTCTCCTGGTGGGAACAGCATCTGATCAGGACAGACCTGTGGACTGAACTATCAGTGTACGAAATGTTAAGAAATATTCCTCATCACTCTCTCCGCCCAGACAACAGCATGAATTAGTTTCTCATAAAGATTGTTGATCGACTGCTGAAGTTAAACAATAACTATTGTATATTTTCTGACATGTTGCAGGTTTTGTTAGCAGAAAAAAGTTTATTTACAAGGAAGGAAACCTCTCATATTGCAGTCTGATGACTAAACTACAACAGAAAGTACAGAACTGTACAAAAGTAAATAGTGATAACTGAGGGCTTTTTTGCTAAGAAATGTACAAATATGTAAAATAGCATACAATACATATCTATATTTACATAATATTTTTTTATCTAAACACAAAGCATTTTGATAATTTTTCTAAGTACCAGATAACATTTATTTTTGTGCTTTACTTGCAAATCTGCATTTAAGCAAATCATGAGATATAAAATATCCTTTGTATAATTTATCAATATAATTCCTCAAAAGTTATTTAAATTGCTTTTATTTAAAAAGCTAACAATTTTTTAAACATTCCCAGAATATGCATCTTATTTAGAAATATAGCACCTTGTAAATGTATTCATACCAATCAAACACATTTTGTGATGTCACAACCACAAACATTAACTTTTTATTGGGATTTAATACAAAAAAAATCAAAACAGAGCAAAAGACTTGCAGGTGTATTGCAGGAACAATACAATGATGTTTTATGAGTCAAAAACATTGTGTAAAAAAAGGCATGACTCATTACACAATTATGAATTACTTTGTGTAATTTCATTTTTTTTACATCAAATCTGAAAAAAAAAATCATGGGGGATTATGATTGTAGTGTAACAAAATGTGGACCAAACAAGAGGTATGAATATATTTAAAAAGCACTATATTCCTCCTGACTACATATGTCATCATATATGTACACCTCTGTAAACTCACTGGGGGTCTCCTAATGGTGTGACAACAGGCCATGGCATGTCAGGTAAAGGTGCCTGGGGTTGAGGAAGAGGCTGCTGCTGCATTTTCTGATTAGCCCAGTTTAAGTCCACACCATTCTTCTTCAGTGCAGCCAAGTGCTTGATGTCAAGTGTCGTGAAAGTGGTAAACTGGACTTGATTCCTCTTGCTGGTGGGAGAATGCAGAGGTTCACTGCGGTGTGGCCTTGCCAGCAAAGTGGCTGACCGGTTTGCCATTGGGTCGATGCCCTTTACTTGAAACTGGTGTTGCTGGGAACTGCTCCTGCAGCGTCCCAATGTAGCCGTTCTCTCAGGTACAGCAGGGGCACTCACAGTTGGCAAAGACCCCTGCAGGCCACTGGGAACCATTGAATCTATTGAATGATGGGACTCAAGAGGGCGGTGAGGCTCACGTTTCAGTGTTGCAACTTGAACGGGGCAGCTGGAGCACCTGGTGGAGGTGTGTTGTGACTGTTGCTCCCCATCCACACCCAGTCATGTTTGTGATCCTTTGGGTCTGCAGTGGGTGGTGGGGCTGTCTGTATGGGGGTCTTTTGTTTTCGAAAACACAGCTTGTACGATGCACAGTTGAGCAAAAATGCCATGATAGCGATACAAGAGACGCCTATCAAAGAATACATGCCGATCTCCAAATCGGACAAGGCTTTGAAAGTCCTGATAAGATCGCTCTCAATCACTTTAGGGGTTTTCGTTTTCGGAGACTCGTTCTCAGGTTTGACACCTTCTGGAGTCTCATTGTTAGCAGATGAATTAGCGTTGTCAAGCATGTTCCCATATCTTTTCTTTTTCCCATCTCCTTTACTAACAAAACTCACTGTTGGTTTGGCAGTATTCAGCTGTGCATCAGACCATAAGTTATTGATAGCTGTAGGAGTGATCATGCTAATGACGCTAGATGCAGCGCCCTCTGTAGGGTTTGTTCTTCCAACCCATACTGCAGGTGTTTGTACATATCTATTTGGAAGCGTTGTTGTGATAACAGCCTGCTGGTTGGTCATTGTGTCAGTGGATGGCCTTTTATCCATAAAAGTGAAAAATTTTTGCGATGTCCCTGCTGTTTTAATGTCACCCACTGCTTCGACATTTTTACTTGCTCCTCCTGCTACAACTCTTCCGCTCTGAAAGTTAGTCTTGAGAATCCCTGCTCCCACCGCCAGCTTGCTCTTCCTCTTGGACTTCTGACATTCCTCACAAATCCTCAGCTCCACCTTCACCTGCCTCCCACGGCCTTCGCCTTCACCTTGTGCAACCACGAATGTGGACAGTGGTGTGCGCCGCACAGTGGCCACCCTCTCATCATTGGTGGAAACGGTGAGGGAGTAGACACCACGTTCAAAAAGCTCCAGTGGAGCAACCGCCCCATCACTGAATTGAACCCAACAGCTGACCACTGCTTCCTGTAACAAAACAAGAGGGAGAGAAAGTGCAAACTTATTCAACATGTACATGAGGAAATGGGAAGCAAATTAATATTTCTTAGCCTCTGCAGAGATTGTTATTTGAATGACATCCATACGTATTCATGTAAATATTGCAGGGATTGAGACAATCTAAGAGGTTTCAATACTTTATATTCAGTACATTCAGTTCAGTAAGTTCCATATTTTTATCTTCACTCAGACTTGCAAATCACTGAAATTAAATTTTCTACTTTTCCAAACTACATAGGAATTTTGCAAATCATCTTTATTGATCTCTTCAAAAACATGGAATAAAATAAAACACTTTTAAGTATGGTATGGTTTAAATCTAAAGCAATAATTCATGCAATACTATGGCAGATGTCCTTCAACGCGACAAAAAATGTAGCATTTAGGGTCACCTTACGGACAGAATTTGCTAATCAAATGACATTACAACAAAATGACCCATTTACTGTGGCTAATATGAGCTACTGGGTCACCACAAACCTAGCCTATATTTTAGATCTGAATACATTGTGAATAGCCCTGAGCATAACAGCTTGCTATCTCAGACACAATTGGCTGGTCATCCGCAGGGGCAGGTTTATTGACTGGGGCAGAACAGCCATGGCAGTGCACTGAATGTAAAAGAGAGCATGTCTGTGAAAAGTAGCTGGTTTAAAATGGGCAGACTGCCACAGCTAAATGTGTGAGTGAGCTTTTAACGTGATCATCTGTCTGCCTTATCTTGGTCTCTTGCAGAGCTCTGCAGCTGCTGATGAGGGTCCAGAGAGAGAAAATACTCACACTAAGAAATAAAAAGAAAGCCAAAATGTCATTTTGTTATTGTAAGTGTGATTTATGTTTCTTTTTGGTAGAGTTTAATATTTAAAATGCATTTATATGACCAAAAGCATGTATGGTTAAAAGAAATAACCCAGATCTTTATGGAATTTGAAATTGTCATGAAAAAGCTGGTTTGGTTGTTAACTTTTGCTCTCAATGTTTCCAAAGGAAAATACTTTTACTGTATTAAGATTTTTAGTCTTTCTTTTCATTCATTGTTTATGTTCTCGATGAAAACATTAATTTGTCATTTGATCATTTGGTTTGGATTCACAGATCAGAACTTAGATGCATGAATAGAACATAAAGCAAAAACTTTGAAACCATCTATCGCTCATAAGTCCATGTGTAGCTTTTTTCTTTGACTTTGACGCAAACTGAAAGGAAACTGAAACTGCTGCAATCACAACAGGTCTAAATTGTGTTCCCTGCTTTTGTGCAATATGTGTTTAATGTTTTCATAATGGAAAGAGATTGAGAATAAGAGCATAATTATGCATGTTTTGTAGATAATATTTTCACACGTTCATTAGATACATTTATCCCACCTATCGGACCATTTTAGATCTAACTTGTCCAATAATTTTAGAACAAAATAGCTGTTTACGACTCCATAGCTCAAATATTAAGATTTGCATCATTAGCTTATGTACAGCTACATTTTGAGTAACAATAAATGATAGAATGGGACCCTAGTAGATGAGCCATAAGAGCCATGTTAAAAAGTACTATTACATCAGTGAACTTGTATTTGTGTGATGTAAAAATGGTCACTATTTTAGTAGGAGCATAATTCTGCCTCTGCAAAGTAACATGATTTCTCGTTACACTCTCTCTTCCTCAAAATCACTTAAAATATTTTATAATTTTTTTTGCAACACACTTGTGCAGAATTGATGTGTGGGAAAAAAATCTAAGTGAGGCAGATTTTACAAACTTTTTGTATCTGTCCAAATTTGAAAACATCACAACTAAAGTCTGCCAGGTCATTTTTGTTGAAATACAAAACAAAGCCCTGCTTCTTCTCTGGAAGTGTGGGGAAAACAAAACATATTCAAATATGATTCTCCTAAAATACCTTTATGTTATTTTTCCTCATGCATTTTATTTGTTTTCAGAAAAGATGAAAATAAATAATCTGCAAGAGTCTTAACCCCTTTTTTTTTTATCTTACATCAAATTAGCAATGATGTTCATCTGGGTATACATTATAAAATCACTTAATATTTTATTTTGGCAAATTCAAGGATACTTTATGGTTTAAAACATTTATTTCGGAGTGAAGTATGAAAGAAGCATAGTTTATAGACCCCTGGTATAACCTTTAAGAGCTCTACAAATTTTATCAGCAAAATACGGCTTCTAGTGCCAAAGCACTTTGAAAGGTCAGTAAGACTAGCACTAAAATGCTACACAAGTGCTTATGATTTACTATTTACTCAAACTACTTTAGAACCGTGGAAAGCACACATGTACAAGAGACCCTGAGTCTGTTTTACTTTTGCTTTTTGAGAAGCTTCATAATGGAGCAAAAATAACATTTCTGAGAAATGTCACCATCAACAATAAAATTCAATGTTAAGCGTAATAATGTAATGTCCAGCTGTCTCAACATTATGTAAAGGTTGTGTGTCCTGTGAAATCCATGTTTGTTCTCTCCTTATAGTTATAGTTTAAGTTTGTGAAAAGTAGCTGGTTTGCATTTTTATTCAGATAAAATTACTTTTTTGAAAAAAATCATTCTTATTAACTGGTAACTGCCAACCCGAGAGATCTCACACATATTCCTTCTAATGTATTTTTTCAGTATGTTCTATAAACTAAAAGGCATGTATTCACCCTCTGCGCAAGGTTTTAGTTCAGTAGGACTCCTCTGCAAACAGCAATATATATATTTTTGGAGTATCTAATGATGCTAATTATGCATGCACCCAAGTGAGTGATTTTGCTGATGCAATTAATTAAAAAGAGGAAAATGTCATCATAACAATGTCTCGAGTAAAATGTTGAATACATGAATGGTGTGATTTTGGTGTTGTGCCACAAAAGCAAAATCTTGAACCCAAAATGATGCACCAAAAGTTCATCTAAAATTGTCCAGTAAATCAAACATGATAAACATGAAGCAAGAGAACAGTTTTGTTTTATTCACACAAATTTTTGAAACCTCAGAAACTGCTCCGTATGAAACATCAACAGCAGGACAAAAATGTTTGTGTACTGAACAATGGAGCTATAGAATGGAGTCAGATATGCGTTTAGAAACAGAAGGACGTCCAACTGAAGCCCCAGTTGTTCATTGTTGTGGAGAATAACAAATACTGTGACATCCATAAGGTCATTGGGAAGGGTGTTAAGCAGGACAAGATCATATGTGTAGGTATTTTACATGTCATGAATTACAGCTGCTGATATAATAAAGGGTTTTGAATGGCCCAATTAAGGTTGGAGTTAAAGCCAAATAGTATCTGATTTTTTGAGAATCTTTCAATGTGGCTGAATAACAATGCTATAAAGAGAAGAGGGTAGAATTTCTAACACAATGATTTAAGGCTTGTGCTGCCAATTAATGGCAATATAAGTCATTATGTTCAGGAGGCTGAGGCCTATATATTGGTTAAAATATATATGAACTGTTTTGAAATAATATGGGAACAAATAAAAACATTTACAAAAATCCATCACACAATTCTGTTTACGACGGTTTCCCAGTTGTTTACCTGTTTGAGTTCTGTGACTGTCTCCCTTGTGGTTGCTGTGGCAACAATAGCCCTGTTGCTCCCAGGGCTGAGCTGAAGAGACAGAGAAAGTCCGGAAACTAACTGCACTCCCAGTTCTGTCACGCTCACTTTATCATCCACCACCCTGATGCTCCTCTCAGCCAGGACCAATGACGTCACCGGGGACAACACCTGCAACCGCAAACACAGGCACACATTCAGGCTGCAAAAAAAAGCACTTCAACTGAGACACACACACACACACACCCCCACACACCCACACACACACACCCCCACACACACATACACACACACACAGGTCTGCTGATGCCTCACCTGCACAACAGTGGTCCCAACAGCCCGCCCTTGCAGTACAACACCATCTTGCACTCTGGCTACTTCAGGATCTGCTACTTTTAGAGCATAGCGCACGAGGTCAGTCACATCAACCTATAGATGTAAAAAATGCAAAAATAAAGACTCAATCACTGCAAATGCTTGTAGGCGCACACACTGGATTGTCATCTGGATATAAAGCGTGTACATTCAAAATACTTTAATAATAGTTTTGTCTGCATGCTGGTAATGAAGAAGTACTCCATGTTTTTACCTGCCAATCAGAACCTAAAAAATATTCAACAGGCTCTTCTCCAGTAAGTGGGCCAGGCAGAACCTCAGAATCAGGCTGGGCCACAAAAGGTGTGAGCACCCTCACTGTCGAGAGTTGGTACTGTAACATGCATCCTCTTCCCTTCCTCATGTCCTCATCTTCTTCACTGTCCCATGTAGATCTGACACACAAAAACAAAATTAATCAGTCATATACGTGTAGGAACACAGACATAAAGAATGCTGTGAAAAATGTAAGTGAATCTTAACAGATATTATTATTTGAAAGGTTATTTTGGTGGTTTTAGCTTTCAGTGAATGAAAACTCAAATCTGAAACTTTAAAACTGTCAATATTGCAGGGTAGTAATAACAGACTTTATAATATAGATATTTATCATAAAGATATCACTGGATTGGTGAGGTGCGGCCTTGAGAGGATCAGCCTGTGTCTCTGCTGAGATTTTAAGCAAGCTATAGCAGCTGCTTGCAGTTTGTCGGCATTGTTGGGTTTGGTGTCATCTGCCTCTAGACTATAGACTCACTGTGGTGCTTTGGATCAATCAAGCACAGTGACATAGTTCTCATTAAATCAGGCACTTGTACCTTTTGGAAGTGTGAGTACCAGCTGACTTCTGCTGGAACATAAAATCTACATTTCCATAAAGATTCCATAAGATTTACATTAATGTCAAAAAACAGAAGCTTTTGGTGCTTTTGAATAAACTGAGCTTGATATAAGCCAGTAGACCGACAACAGCAGAAGACATGGCTTTCCAAGTCATCTTACTGTTAAAGCTTCCCGCTGAACTTAAGAAACATGGATTCTGTGCCTCTAACAACTTCCTCCACACTTGGAAATTGATTTGCCTTTTAAAGTCTATTTTTACTTAAGAGCACTGACTTGTGCTTAGCATTTGTCCTTTAAATCTTTCAATGGCTTATTAGCTATCCCTGTTGCTTGTTCTTGGGTCACCCACACTTTCACTCTGTGAATTCTTTTAGAAAACCTTTTTGTGGCTTACTTTTTCTGTGGAGGATGTAAAAGAAAAGGCTTCCTTTTTTACTTTGCAAGCCATAACATAATATTTCTGCACTGAAACTTATTGGTAACACTTTATTTGACGGGTTGTGAATAAGTCTGTCATGACTCTGACATAAACATAACATTAACACCTGTCATGAACATGAGTAAGTCTTCATAAATATTTATGACTGTTGTCATAAAATGTCATTTGGTAAATCATGACACTTTTCATACAAAGTTGACATTAATCAAAATGTCAACTTTTTAAAAATTATATTATTAAGTAAAGATTTTATGTTAATCTCTGTGTAGAGTTTTCATTAGCTGCAAACCACAGTCTACAAAACTGAGATAAACTCTTGAACAATTCATTACAATTCATAACCTATTCTGGGGCTTATTCCAGCACTAAACTGATATGTTCTCCCCTAAGTGCAGACTGGCTGTCTGAATTTGCTTCCAGCACTTCTCAGAAACAGCTATGGCACAACAAAAACATGCTGCTAATCTGTGAACTTATGAAAGAAAAACAGTGAAGCCCATCAGCATTGTTGTTGTTGCTTTAGAGGCGAAGCCCATGTGGAGTGACCTTTTTCCTGAAAATCAATTTCACTTAAATTAACCAAGATCCCACAGCTGAGTGGTTTGTTTATATGTAGTAGAGGTTAAGCTGTGAACCTCTCTGCAATGATCATATAATTATCATACTCTCAGCTGGTCCTGCCACACGGCGCACCTCAGGTGTGCTGCAGGGTTGGTGGAAATGTTTTTACACTGCAGGCTGAAAGTGCCTGTGAAGAGGTAAAGTCCAAATAAACATCATTACTATTTAGCCTGAGGTCACAGCTTACCATGTGATGGGAATGCTACTTGAATTAAATCACTGACTCAACAACAAGGCACCAAAAAGTTAGTCTTGGCTATATTCTGTCGTCCAACTTCTGAAGCTTCGAGGCATCGCAACGATCTTTAATCTAAAAAAATAAACATGTTTGTCTGTGCTTCTGTTAGGTTAGTAATGAATTTTTAAAAAACTTCAGAAAACACATAAGAGATGACAAACTTAACCCTCCTGTTATGTTACGGGTTTAACTGACCCCTTTTAAATTTAAAAAATGTTAATGTTTGCGGCGCTAACACGACTCAGCGTAAACACATTCAGGTTGAATACTTTTCGAAGGTTCTGTCCCACTATTCAGTAGTATTCTTTCTATTCATACTAATGAAGTATGAGATTTCTGACCTACTATCTGTTTGTAACTGAAGCCAGGTATTGAACTTTGGGCAGGGGATGGCATCCATTATCAAAGAGTATCGAGTGGGGAAAGTAATGACTTTACTGTACTTATTGATTGAAACCCTACTAACCTTTATTTCCAGGACATCAGTGATGTATCTAATGCTCACTCACTCTCCAATTCGCTAAACACAAATGTGGTAGTTACTCTTATTCTGGCTGACAACATGCAGTTGTGTCCAAAACCTCCAGCATCCTTGTGAATTTATGAATTTTACAGGAGATTCTCTTTGAAGCCACAATTATTCATTAAACAACAATGCAAAATTGTGTATTATGTATATTTAAAAAATCTTTCTCAAATTTTTTAAGGAATCAGTATCAATGCAAAGGCACTTTTATCCTCATTAGGATAAAATTTATCTCATTTATCTATCATTTGAAAGATATATAATGTGCATTGCACACTGGCTTTAAACACATCCCCTAACAATATTTCAAAAACTTTGAAATGAGTTTTTCTTAACCAACATTTTGCTTTTATTGCTCCAGCAAAAAGTAAGCAACATTAACAGATATTAGATTTGTAACACTGAGCACAGTATGAGCGCAGCTTATTGTTGCCTGACTGGTTGAAGAATGCATTTTAATTTTGAGTTCCATTTTTGCTCCAAGGTTAGTGGTTAGTTTCACGTTAAACATTTCAAATTGGAAAAGTCAAGTGATCTTGTCAACCCAGAAAAGTTCCATCAGTCTCCTTAGCATCGGCTTACTTTGGTTATGCCTTGGGCCGGCTCTGCCTTACCTTCTATTGCCTGTTGTGACGGGTACCCTCCAACCTTTAATCTGGCTAAGCTCAGGGTCGGCGATGTCGATGAGCAGAGGCAGGCGGGGGATCCACACACTCAACTCCAGCTGCGCACTCAGGAAACCGTATGTGAAATTGATCATCACGCTGCTTTTGCCTTTTGTCTCTTTTCCATTCACAAAAACATAGTTACAGCGTTCTGACACCTGGATTAAGGAAAAGAGAGAAAGGTGGTCAAAGTTCCAGAAAAGCTCACTGGACTCACTTGATTTAAAACAAGCGTCTGCTTCTTTTCCTTTAGATCTTTTCTAGGTTTAGGGCATTGTTGTTGTTTTTTTTTTTTTTTTTTTTTCATGCAAGAGTTCAAATAAACAGGCCAAAAACTGTTTTTGTGACGGCTGATTAGCTGAAACAGGAAGGCGAGGAGCGATTTAAAATTCAAGAAAGAAAAAAAAAAAAGAACGGCACAGAAAACAAAAAAAAATCTCTTGAATTTCATACCACCTCCAAAGTGTGGACAAAGGATCAGAGAGTGCTTGTGTTTGTCATCTAAAACCACCACTGTTTCAGAATGTAAATAAGCCCTGGTTTACAGCTGTTCCTGTGATGTTGTTTTGGAGGTAGGAGCCAGGCAGTCCCCACCAGCAAGAGCAATGAGCTGAAACACAGCAGTTGGTGTGTTTTATTTCAGATTGGAGGCCTATCTCTATTGCCGCCTCACTTATCTTAACAAACCAGTGGCTCCACTGGGGTAATTGGAGAGCACTAGACTGGAGAATAGAGTGAAGCAATGGAAGAGGGATAAGTGTGGGTGGAGGAAAAAGTGAGAAAAAAGCTGGGGGAGTAGTGAATGCTTAGGACAAGTTGAACTGAACTTTGTTTAGATACAGACTGAGGTCATTATCTTAAGACCATTTCCTATGAAATTCATTTATCAACAGTGTTCAATACCCTGGAGCTCTCTAAAGTATATTTTTAAATGCATTTTATACCTTCCAGAATAATTGCTGCTATATTCAATGGTGGCTTCGCTGGAGTGATTTTGATAAGTTTGAAAACCAACCTTTAAATTATATTTGAGTATATCTATATTTATGGACAAGATTGTTGCTATGACAGGAGGCTCCCGCCGCAAAAATGTTACGCCATCCAAGCTCATCGCTGGAGAAGCTGGTTGTTTACACAGTATGACTGAGTAGAAACAAAAACTGATTAAAGACAGTACATAACCAACAGGAACAACTGCATCCTTGAAAGGATTATAAAGCAAAGCCCATTGAATAATTTAGGGCAGACTACAGCTGGAAACAGAGCTTTAAGAGCCTTCAAACGCAGACATGCCAGGGACCTTTGTTGCAATCCTTGTAGTAAGAAAGTTCCTTCACAACCATCACTTTAAGGAAGTCTCTTTCTTTTAGCCACTGGCTGTTGTGCTGCACTTTTTACACATTCTTACCAACAAATGTGATCATATCTGTTTATAATATGTGTGTGTCTTAAAGTTAGAATCCTTGTAATAAACTTTTCTAAAGGAGAGAAAAAACTATACAAAAAAATAAAGCTTAATTCTAGTTGTTCTGAGCTGTGCTGTTTTGGTCTTACCTTGAGCACATCCATCTCTGCTGATTTGCAGTTGGTGAAGTTTGTCACATCTGTAACAGTGCCATTGGCCTCAACAGCAAGAGTTTTCACAGGAACTGAAACCATTTTACCCGTCAACACAGCAGTATTCAAAATATCTGTAGTCTGGGTAAAAAGAGGAGAGTATTAAGTTCTATGTGAAGCTGCATTTACTTGTGTACATGAAAACCAATGAATCAGTCTTATATTTAATTGTTATTAAGCACAATTTGGAGACCATGAGCCAGCATTAATCAAATTTTAACACAAATCATGGTTTGTCTGTTACAGGCCCTTTGGATTTTTTTGTACCCATTCTGATGCAATATTTAGTTGTCTCTAATTTGTGCGGTGGGTCAAGAGCTAGTGCATAAATATTTTTTAATAAAATCTATATCATTTCAGAATAATTAACATGATACCAACCATTCATAGCATCTACATCTGATGAAATTATGCTTTGCATAGTCTGGTTAATTTGCTAAAAACCAGGAAATGGAAACTTTCTTAATTGGCATTTCCTTTATTTTCTTTGCAACTTTTTTGCAGGACAACTGAATGGAAACATTGCTAGTCTAACTATAAAAATGAATGAGGTAAATTCCTATCTACAATTTTTAAACTAACATTTTACATCTGTGACTTGGGTCACATTTACCTTAAACACTGCATTTAATTGCTAATGTTTAATGTCTGTATCTTATACAAGTGAAAGTAAAGTGGCAAGTACTATTCATCTCTCAAGCATGGATGGATTTTCTAACTTACTGTGCTTTCAATATCTTCAGACAAAAGAAACCCTTATTTTGATTTATGTAATTTTTATATAAATTTGAAATGACAAATTTCTTGCTGAAGAAAATAATTACCATGTGTTGAACAATGCATCAACAAGGTTTTTCACTATGCACTTTCAGAAGTTACAATTGTTTGATTTAATAACCCATATTTCATATTTGTTCATGCTAAAGTTGGGTTGTGATAAATTGCTACAGAGGTTTGATGTGTCATGTGGGTATAAGGCAGAGAGAGAGAATCCGTGCCTGTCTTTGTAAATTAAGCCTGAGGTGAAGATCTTTGTTATTTTACAAGCAAATTCCTCCTGCAGGCAGAACCTAAATCAAGAACAACATGTCAATGGGGGATTTCATATCCCAAAAAAACTGCCTTCCACAATATGAAAAATAAATCATCATTTCTATCTGCTTTATTCTGCTCAGGGGCCTGAGACAATTTCAGCTTTCTTACAACAGGCAGAGGCACTGCACACTTCTTACAGGCTGTCAGGTAATCACAGGACGTACATGGAAACAAAATAGTTTGCACATTTCCAAGTCTCTGAAGTTAAGCTGCGATAAAACTGTCTAATGTATGGAAAAATCATAAAGTAAAAAAAAAATGGACACTGAAACAATTATATTAATCAAAGATTAATTAGACTGAAAGAAAATTACCAAAAAAATCACTTGATAACCTTTTGACTTTGTTCATTTCTTAATGTTTACTTTCTACTTGTTAGAAAAAGACATGCAAGAATAGCAAAAGACCCCAAAATCTCCAAAACTGGATATTAGTAATAATTGCCTTTAGCCTCTTTTGCCCTTTTTATAAAGAAAGATATGAAAACTAATTAAAATGCTAATTAGTGAGCGCATGTAATTTTATATGTCTGAATATTTCTCTAAGCTTCTTTTTTAGCTATCTTATTTGGTTCTTCGTTTGTCTTTCTGGGCAGGCTAGTTGACAGGAGACTTAATATGATACGCTCTGCTCTGAAAATCAACATGAGATGCTCCAGGTTTTGTCCTATTTCAGCGGGTATAAAAGGCAGGACGAGGTGTTAGCAAGATCCACAACAATTTTTTAATGCTTTCCCTCCCTGCATTTATAAAAAGAGCAGGTGTATAAATGCTGTATAACATTGTTTACAATGGTATGGATTCAAATATTACAAGGTAGACTGAATGAACTGAGGATATATTAGGCTGCATATATCAGACATTTGGTTGCACTTCTACTCTGCTACTTTTTTAGCTTACAAGTTATTTTATTAGAGAGCTCATTTGAAAACTATTATCTGTAAAATCGTGTCCCTTTACCAATTATAGTAAACACGCTCTTGTTTCTACTCATCCAATGTACAATTCAGAAGCTCATATTATCTGTAAATGTCTAAGCTACATTTTAACTTCCAACTTTACTTCGCAGCATTTTGAAAATGTAATTTGAAAAAATTATATCATTGTTTGGGTGATCAGAAGTAGTTTTATTTTATTACACCTCCTCCCTGGTATGAAAATAGTGCTCAGCAGATGTTTCACGGGGCAGTGTCACATTTTGAACCCTGCCGACTTGACAGCTGCTGACCGCAATTCCAAAAGGACATGTTCTAGTTCAGAACAACGACACTGACCCAAACATAAGCCAGGGGATCAGGGAGTGCAAAAAATCAGAAAGTAATCGCTGGACTCGGTGGGGATGCCAGTAACATGCTGGGAGAAACTCAAATGCTGTTTTCTGCAAGTTCAGCGGTAATTCGGCAGTTCAAGTTCCTGAGGCCCAATTCACTTTTAATTCCCTAAAATAGCGTTTGATTTAAATTTTGTTTGGAAGAGTTTTGAATTTCAGTGTTAATTATTAGTAATAGGGATGAGGCAAAAATTACTACTATACAGGTAAGTGAGATTGGTGCTCTTGTAACAGGCAAAGGGTTACTACCTTGACCTTGACTAACGGCAAGGTCAGAGTTTTAAAAAAATGGCCAAGCAACTATAAGACATGGAAGTACTTCAGCAAAACCTAAGGACAAAAGCATCAAATAAAACTTCCAGCAGTTGCTGTGACAGCTAAATCCCAAAGATGACTATACCATTTGTTTCTCTTTGAGTTTTGTTCAATGTTACGGAAAAGAAAAACCTGTATTTTCTTTAAGTGAATCCCTTAGTTTACTGAGATTAAAGGGATTTCTACACAGATGGATGTTTGATTTATTTTGACTGTTGCACCAAGTGAATAGACTTCTCTCAAGGACAAACATGAATCCACCTTGTAATATTTGGAGGCTTGTTTTCTTTCCAATAAGCTACACAAGAATGTAGTTCTTAAAGAAGAGCAGAAAAACACTTGGAGTCTGTGTGAGTCCATCTAACTCTTTTCTTAATGCTGGTAACTAAACACATATAGTTATGGGCATTAAGGCCCTAACTCTCATACTGGGTCTGAAACTGGGAGCTCAGGAGCAAATGCGTGGCCTTTTAGGCTCTCCACAGTGGAAACCAAAAGCTTAAGCAAGAAAGGATAGCAGTTAATTGAAGTCAATTCAACTCCTTTCTGTAAAAGTAATATCTTTTTTTGTTCTAAAGTATATATGGCTCTTTCACTTAATGAAAAAGCTATTTTTATATACAAAGAGATACACATCGTGGAGAATTATTCGTTCCCCATACTTGATGTATGAGGTTACAGAAGAGTCAGTGAGTTGAATTCATAAATTCTTTTTATTAATACCAAAATACACCTGGTCCATTATTACCTGCCACTTTTAAGAGGTAACAGACAAAATGGTTGACTTTGAGATCTCCTTTGTACACCCCAAAGAGCGTGTTATCTAGCTCCTCATATCCTGTAATCTTAGATTTGAGGCAGTTTTCTAACATGTCATTTCTTTTAGCTTCAGCTTAGAAACTAGCTAACACAGATAGAAGGAAGACACATAATTATTTATTCCCTATAACAGACTTCGTATCTGTTTTTAAGTGGTATGTGGATTTTGCCATTTTGAACATGTTTGTTTCTTGTTTCTTTTTGTAAGGAGATACCTGTCAAAGGTTGTTTTATATTGACCATAAGTCAGTTCATTTCATGTTAGCCTTGTTGAAGTTTGGTTCTTATTTTGACAAAAGACAATTAAAATACATTTTTATAATCCACTGATGATCCTAATTAAATAAATCAATGATTTGAATTGTAAAGGTTGTTTCTCTGAAGAACACGCAGGGTCTGCTTGTTGGTAAAATATTACGCACCGCAGATAAAGCTAAAACTTGAATATTTAAAGATGTTGAGATAAAATTGCGAGCTTGTTTTGTAGACAGTCAAAACTCTATGAATTTGGTAACCATAAAGTAGCCATTAAACTCAAATCATTGTGTATCTGCTTAAGATGTAAAGTGAAATAATACTGTTTTATTTATTCAAAGAAAATGTAAGCCTTCTGTGTACATTTTTCTCTCTACACACTTGTGTTTACAACAAAGTAACGTAAGACACAAAACAATCTGAGTGCGCTCCCAATCTTTTTAAGACCGTAATCCCTTCTCTTAAGAGTTTTCTTTTTTATCTAAAGCATCAGAAGCTTTCCCCTCGTATGCTTTCTCAGTTTTACCATCTTTGGTCTAACGGATACATTCATCTGTAAAAGTATTGCACTTAAGCTTTCCGCCGAATGATGCAAGTGCAGCTCTCACCATCACCAGAGGTGCCAGTCCAATGAAGTCTCGTGGGGCGGTGAAGATCCGCATTAAGCCAACATCTTTGACATTCCCTGGCAGCTCCAGACGCCAAGAGATAGCCTGACTCTCAATCTGCTCGGAGACATCTTTTGGCACAAAGTCTAACTGCAAAATCTCCAGAAGACCCCTGTTTCAGACATGAAATGGCAAATACAAAGATGTATGACTAGATACAGCATGATTGAGTTTTAATGGTTCTGAGTTTGTGCATTTAGTAGAGGATATTATGCACTATAGTTTCAAAGCCAGACTCTGAAACAATAGCATGGAAAGATAAAGAAATTAAATATAAAAACCAGGAACAACCCTTTAAAACATGACAATGGGAGCAACAAAGAAATACCTTTAACTTTGTGGGAAAACCACCTGTTGCACTTTCACATAAGCAAAGACACAGGGGGGCTCGTTTATAATAAACAGATGGAGACTGGGGTGTAAGAGTGTGAAGGGAAGATAAGGTAAGCTGTCAGAAGCTTCATCCAACAATCCTAGTCCTAGTCAGGGAAATTGCGTTTGATGTTATTTGATGCTTGAGAGTGTGTAGGCATACCTGCCAGTAAGAAAAGATCAAAGGAAAGTAGAGTAGTAAGTGAATGAAGATGAGACGCTTTGAAGTGGACCCAAACTTTGCACGGAACTAGACAATAACTCCGTGTCGTTGGAAAGCATACATAAATGAGCCAAGTAAAATATGCATAGGTGAACTTTACAGTGATGGCTATAAGTTCAAAGATTTTAGCTATTATACATTATTTCAAGAAAGTGTGAACATTAACATTTACAATAAAATGAGAACATAAAATGGGCCAAAAGTGCAATCTTTTGTTCAAAACCTGATTGAATAACCTATTTGAGACAAGTATAATAAATTGGCATGGCTAATTCTGATTCAGAGTCGAGGTGACTATATGTGTATGGTCCAAAATAATATTATATTAAAAATGAAAGCCAAAAAACAAATACCCTGTGATAAATCCAACATTTTCTATTTCAAGATTACTTTAATTGGTCTGGGAAAGTTTGGCCTTAAAACATTTGAAAAAGCGTCCATCTGCATCAGCCCATGCAATCGTGGTACAATTTTACCATTCATGAACTGCACTCAAAACCTATTATAAATGCCACAAATGGCCTGCGCAAAGAGCTTTGTGTCTAGAAAAAAGAAATTTTACTGAGTATTAATAGCAAAACTGCTATTAAATGAGGCACTACTGAATTGGTTAAAAAGCATTCATATCAAAAACAAATTATTTCTAAAAATTTAGATACTTCTTTAAATAATTAAATCTAAATTAAAGGTCAGATTTTTTGGAAACGCAGGAGCATCAATAAATGAATTTTGTACAACTCACAAATTAATAAAAATAGCTGGCAACTGTGAAAAGAACAATGTTTGGTTTAAATTATTTTCTTGCTTAATAATGTAAATAATGGTAAAGTAAATACAGTACTAAGTATTAAAGTAAATAATCCATGTTTTAACATTTTTAACCATTAGTAAAAAGTCATAAATATTAAAAACATGTTTGGCTCTTTTAGTTTCTCTTTTCTGTTACATGTAATAGAAAATATTCATGATGTCTAAAGACAAGTCTAAACCTAAGACTAAAGACAGAACATGGGACATTTAATGCTCTTTTTTATTGGTAATCCACCTATCATCACCTCAAAGCTCATGCGTTGTAAGTATTTGTCCATTTATGTGCTTACTTGTCTGTTTTTTATTTGTGTTAGTCTTCGTTGGAGCAAAGGACAGAACTTAGAATATCTTAGTGTCCTAATCTGTGTTTCTAAAACGTACAAGTACTTAAGCCGGGATAACGTCGCCGTGATTATGGATGACTGCAGAAATGTGGGTCGGGTGGATGGAGGGTAGTTGCGACTGCCTGTGTGAGTGAGAGCTTGCTGGATATATACCATCAGCATTAGGCTTTAATGATGAAGTAGGAAGACCTGAGAAAGATGAACACACTATTCAATAAAGTAAAGAGAGTACAATAGCATTCCTTGTCATTTATTAACATTGTTTTTATTTTGACTCAACTTTGAGTTGCAATTCAGCTTGGTTTTATTTGCTTCCTTCTGGCCCTTTTTAATGTAAGAAAACATTCTACATTATAAAACGGGCTCTAAAATCTCAGGTAAATTGATGTTTTACCTCCCTCCACACATTTAAATACCCTTTTCACCTTTTATTATCAAATAACCTTTTTTTTTCTTTTTTAAAAACGATACTCTATGTTCAATGTCTCGTGTATGGACACAAAAAAATTATACAAAGCAAAACTTAATTTTCAACCAGATGAATAACATCAATGCACAGAAGATTAAAAGGTCATTCCTAGATTGGATCGGTGGATCGGAAGCCATTCTGTTACGCACGAGAGATGCGTTGCTCACATTGGTTGTTATGTTGTTACACGCTCCAATAAATAACCATCAATTAGTGACACTGACAGGATTATTTTATTATCCCCTGTAGCCCAGATGCAGACACTAGGTAGGTGATTTGATATTCAGCTCTGAGCCCCCAGATGTTCCCAGATTCAGCAGAGTCAGGGCTTATAGTAACAATTAATACAAATCACTTTTAGTTTAAAAGGCTCGATGATGCTTAGCCAAAATATGTCAATAATTATGACTTCAAAAGAGCAAATGGAAGAAAAATACATCAAATGAAATCAGTCATGAACTTTGAATATTGGTGGGTTGCTGAGGGACAGTCATTTTAGACTAAGCTGTGACTTTTGGGTCAAAGGCTTTGGGAAAACTTGAAGCTTAAAGCAGGAATAATTTTAGATCCTCTAACCTCAGTAAAGCACATTTGCTCATGTTAGGTCAAGTGGAGGGACTAAATTGACCAAAGGTTTAGACACGGTTGTGTTTTGCTTAGGAATTGACCCATGTCGTTCTAGAGATTACAAAGACCAAATGCTACCTGACACTTCTAACAGCGACCAGAAAAAAGCTAGAATTTAAAATAGTTAGATGGATTTCTTTTGTTCCTTCACTAAAAAGTTGAGGATAGTTGTGGCATTTTTTTAATAAAATTCACATCCTGTTGGATCAGGTTACACAGCAATTGCATGCCTTAAAAATATTTCTTAGAACTCATTTGTAAGAGTGCCAGGATTGTTTGGCTTTAAGATGACTAAAAAGTCAAAAAGAAATAAACTGGCCAAAGGCCCAGTAACAAGTTTGAATATTGTCCAAATTGAGATCATTATACAGTGTTTAATATTAACAAAAAAGGATAATAAATGGGGTGTTTCCAGCATTAATTTACCCAAATTGGCCCAATTAAAACCTCAATAAATCTGGCATGCATTATCGTACCAGAGTATGCTCACCAAATAGAATCCCATAGCACAACAGAGCTGACAGGCCCAACACTACAGCTATTCAATATACCGAAATGTTTGCACTTTAGAATCTGGACAACTTTAAGATGAATATTTAATGTCTGAGTTGTTTCTTTGTCCTCAAGCTGTACCAGAGTGTAGAAAGAAATATCTTGCATATACGGCATTACATCCCTTTTGCTGTCAATAGCATGTGAATAACTGAACAAGCTACATGCTGTTTTGCTAGAATATCTATGGAAACAAGTTTTCAAAGGTACAGTCATTGGCAAACCAAATGTAAAATTGAACAAGAATTTTCTTTCACAGGTATCTCTTTTCCTTCAAAATGGTTGTCTTATTAAAACAAGGCCAAACAGAACCCTAATTAGAAGTAGAAAAACAGACTATTTTTGTTGCTTAGAAAGAGCAGCCTTTTAAAATGGGTTGTTGAGAACTTACACGCATCTAACACACTGCACAAAATTGAACCTTTTATAAGCTTTGGACTGACCGTTTTGAGGTGATGGAAGCCTTCCTGCGGCAGACGACAGTAACGGCGTTGGGAGTTGCTCCTCTCCCAGGCTCCACAATGATATCCCACAGTAATGGGTCACTAGGCCGAGCCGCTCTGAAGGACAAGCCTGATTTTACAGCAGCCCTGTGCGAAAAAGTATTAAAATACATGCTATTAAACCATGATAATATTGTGGTTTAATACATTGAGAAGTACAAATTACGGGCCCACTGAGAAATCAACTGAGTAGAATCAGCTAACTTTTACTTTGACTGGCCCCGACCGCAAACTAATTAAAGTTCAATTCAGCGCATTTCGTCTCGAAGCACTTTACCCAAAAATAGTCATTTAAATCCTATCATACACACATTCCAAATGATCCTAGTTATCAAACAGCGCTCTAAGTTCAATTTGTTACTCAAATTAGTTTTAAAAGTTCTATTTGAGGAAACCCAGCAGATTGCATTGAATCATTGACTCTTTGGGATGGATGTGATCATAACGAGGGACAACTCATGTTAGATGTCTCGGAGATAAAGTCAGAGAGGCCAGATTGAGACAGTGTGGACATGTTCAGAGGAGTGATTTTATGGGTGGAAGGATTGTATCTGTGAAAAGTTGAGAGTCAGTCCAAGAAGGAGATGTATGAACATGGTGAAAGTGGACATGATGTTAGTTGGTGTTAGAGGACGCTCAGATACAGAAACAGATGATTCACTGTTGCCACCCTTGAGGGAAAAATCTAAAAGAGAAGAACATCTGAAAAGTTTCATCAGTTTTGAATCTGATGTCTGTGCATTTGTTTAAGGTAGAATCAGTACTGCATGTATTAACTTTGAACAATATTTTTTTATTGTGCTTTAATTGTAGCCATGTTTGTGTCTAACAAGATAGGTCACAAACAGTCAAATGTGTCACAAGCTGCTTGCCCACTGAGAACCAGCAGGGGTATTTAATTCCCATCAGCCCTGGGGAAAACTAGGAATCAGTTAATCAGATCTCTTATTCAGACACATCTCTGATGGGGGAGATAGATTGCTAATTAGAGACGATGTAATTGGACCAGACAGTCGTACAAATCCAACCAGGGCTTTTTTTGTTCCTCACTTAATCTCCTGCATCAAGGGGAGTCTTACATCACTGGACAGGATCAGAAAGCAATTATTTGCGTCAAGCGCCTAAAAAGTGATACAAGTAATACAAATGTTCCTCACTTATAGCTGTCTAACTATTGAGTGGGAGCAACATAGGTCTCTTCATGATAAAATTTTCACAGTGTAAAAAAAAAATGCAGCACAGAGTTTTCAATCCACACCAGCTGAACTCTGTCACTTAACGTGGCAAAATGCTGCGTCTGCAACATTCTCCATATGAATAACAGTTTGGTGACTGTAAATGAAGGATCCAAATGCAGGACAGGGAAAGAAGGATGTGGTGTAATAACACTCATAGAAACAGAAGTGTCTCCAGACTATGACAAGCTGCAGGACAATGGAATTACAAAAATAGGAAAACAAAATTGGTTACAGAAAACAAAAGAAATGAAACAAAATAATAGCCAGTGCCTCTGAGATAATATTAAGATAAAACTAAATAATGTCAAACAAAGAATATTCTTATATTTCTTTTGTGTGTGTGTTTTTTTTGTAACTTTGATTTTCTGTCAGTTTTTAACAGGGCAGTGACAGAGTCACCTGATGACCACCCTTCCAAGTAAAGCCAAACCATTTCTGCAGAGTCATACTGAAAGGGGTGACAAAGTAAATCAATAAAGGGAACCTCTTGGAGCTTTTTGTCCAATCCTCTGACATAAGCTTTCCTACAGGGAAACTTAGTTTGGGTTGTTATTCTTTGTCACCGTCAGTCACTATGTCCAAAAAAGAGAGAAGTGGAAAGAATCTAAACTATTCAACTTCTTACTCTGCTTCGAAAAAATTCATGTTTTTTGTTTGAAGTTGTCTAGCTGTTCAAACTGTGGGCTACACATGTGGCCAGTCACCAGGAAATGTACGTTTTGTCCGGTTTTATTGTGGTGTTTGTGTCTAACTCACGAATCTACACAGTTAATCCTGGCAAGCAGCCCAGATCATCTTTACTCTAAAGGGTTAACCTCTTCATTCCTTTTCAATCAGGGCCACAGCTTATCTGGCCTAACCCTGCTGGAGTGGACTCAATCTTGGCCCAAAGAGTGAAGTAAGGCAGGGATTTCTCGTAGGAGGAATCAATCACTGCCAAGCTCCTCGGAGCTAACCTTCACTCGGACTTAGTTGCAGAGCTCAGCAGGCTCGTCTTGTCCCAATGCATGCTGCATGTGGCAGGACGCCAGAAACGCAGACTGAAATTACTGACCTAACTGGAGGATTTTCAGCATTTCGGTCGACAAAACAAATTTGGGGAATTTCAGGTGAAGAGGCTGCAAAGCCTTGCAAATAGCCAATGCAACAGCAGATGTCGACTCCTCAGTAAGATAATCTCATTCAGTTATTTTCAAAAAGGCAAACAGAGCTGCATTTACGTCACGCAGTCTGCATTTGTGTGATGAATGTATCTATTTGCCATATGAGCAGAATATTCAAGAAGAGATGTAGAAAAGCTTATATGCATGTGAATTCTGGATTATGGCTCACAGATCTTAACATTTTTTCTGTGTGCCAGGATTCTGCAGGAGAATACTGTGTTGCACCAGGACTGATGCATGATATCACTAAACTGTAGGATTAGACTGGAAATTGTTTTCAGAGAAAACAATTAATCAGAGTAGAGACGGAAAACACGAAGTTCACTGTAAAGGCATTGCAACTTCTCTTTAAGACTTGGAGAGTTGTAAAATGTGGACAAAATCAGAACACAAATTAAAGTACTGACATTTGTAAGATTTTTTTTTTTAGAAAAAAAGAAAAATGTCTCATGTTGAAGCAGCAAAAAAATAAAAAATAAAAATCAACAGGACCCATAAAATTATTGATTACAATAAAACAGGCCATTGTTCAGCATGGAAAGTAGCTGTGTGTTAAGAATATTATTTTTTGAAGTTTGTGTTTTTATGCTTTATTTTATTTCAATAAAATATGTGTTGCTCAGTGAATAAAGTGCTTTACAAAGATAAATATTATTCCCCAATGTGTTTACAATGCGCACAGCAAGATGAATTTGGTGGTGTGATGACAAAAAAGAAAACTCTGTGAAGAGAAATGGGAAAAGAAAATCCTAAAAGTGCTGACCGTATCAGAAATGCAAAACTAAAGCATTTTTTAGAGAATTGAAATGATATCCATTGATATAATTTGTATCCACCTGTAATTATGGGATAAGATGATGTTTACCTTAAGGATTTACACTTAATTTATGATTGCAATAAATTCTGTAGAAACAACAACAGCAAGATATTTAGGTTTCAAAACAACCATGACTATTATATTAAGAATCCAAATAGCTTTGTGTCTGATTTATAATGCTGGAAAATTTTGTACACTTGTGGGACAAGCCAATTCAGTGAGTCATATCTTCAGACTTTTTGCTTCTAGAAATACTAAGACAAATTGCTCATTTGAAAAGAAGCATCAAAAAGCAGAGCAGTTAAAACTTAGATAGAAACCAAAGATATAAATTCACACTGTTCCATGATGCTGCAGTGGAGAAGATGGAACAATAACTCTTCCTCATTTTTATATTTCTTCCTGTAGTTTTGAAAGATTTGTCGACATCAAAACAATGCAAACAACCAACAGCATACTCTCTCCCTTACTGCGTTGCGTATGTTATTGTATCTATTATTGCAGGTGTAATTTTAAGATTGTTAATGGAATTAATTTAAAATTATTGCAGCATATTTTAGACTTTATTCGCCATTCAAATGTTTATGAAACTGGATAGATCATTTCATTTGTCTTTTGTAATTTTGATGAACAGGATGGTACAGCCCAACCTGCCTGGTGATTTACAACTTAGAAAAAAAGCTCTGAAAAAGTTTGGGAACAGATTGAACTGTGTGTTTTTCCTCAGTGACAGGGCTGCTTTTATATGAAGCTCAATTCTACCCAGAGGAGTTAGGAAGATTAGTTATTTGTTTTGTTGCTCCATTAAACAGATGCATTATTTATGAAGTCAAATAACCACAAAACCTTGTTGAAATGTTCGTGGGATGTTGAGATATGAAAACCAGTGAATCATTTGCCAATTATTTCGCTGTTTATGGAAGAATGATCTTCATAACTCCCCCACTAAGTGTGACGGTGCAGAAGCAAGGATATGTCAGACAATTTATGCAGCCAGTAACTGGCAGACAACACAAGTCACTCTGGCATTCATGCATATTACCGCATGGCCTTGATGGTGGGCTTCATAAGTATTTAAGTGCCTTAAGTAATCGTTTAAATGCATGGAGCTTATCCCTCATGAATATGCTCGAATGTACTATGCATCCCCCTTACACTTGCTTGGTTTCTTCTATTTCATGTATTTCATAAACAATAAATTTCCATGTAATTCGCTCTAAGCTCTTGTGTCAGTGTAGCTGGATTTACAGAATGGCGATTATTATGATTTCCATCAATGATACTTAACTCTAACCACTTGTGAGTAGCCTTTAAAAGACCAGATCATTGCTTATTTGGCCTCATCAAAGCTCTTAACTGTGACTATGTAATTTATGTACCTTCAAATGAAAAGTAAATAAATGTCCCGTTTAATTATCTACTATCAATGACAAAGAATCTTGCAGTCTGCACATCACATTTTCTTGTTAAGCACCACATAAAGGCTTTTCTTCAAGAGTCTGCGACTTGACCTTGGAGTTTTATTTGATCAAGGGGACTTGTGTTGATATTTTGATCCAAAACGATCACAGCAATATTTAAAATTGTGCAAGTAATAAGAAAAGATATCTAGCATATTTGTTCAACTTTGATTAAGACAGTAAACAAATGGATCATCTCTGGAGACTTTTTCAAAATTACCAGCACAATCAATACTGGCATTCATTCAATAAAAAAGTAAAATATAACTTTGATCTTTGCTATAAATAGCACAGAGAAAGTTCTGTTTACCTGTCCCAAACTCACATTTAGCACCTTTTGTACTATAAGGGCTTATCCTGCCCACTAGCACTATGGATAAACATACTAAGATCCATCCTCCCAGCTTAGAATTAGGTAAGGGACAAATTGGCATGTTAAATTTCAACCTCATATAATGTCAGCTTCTCCAAGATATTGTCAACAACCCTCCATTCCACTTTTCCCATAAAATTGGAATATGAAAACTAATTAATATCAAGCTTTAATTCAGAGGATGAGTGAGTAGAGAAGTGCAAGGTAGGAAATTATTAAGAAATGTTTCTTAACCACAAATGATCATATCGAGACACTCAACAGTATTACTGATGTGTTTTTTTCTGATATTGTACAGCCCAAAGTCATGTGTAAATACATGCACCATAAAAATGTTGTCTTTGTGCTCTATTCAAAGAAAACTTTGATGTTAGAACTTGGAAATTCCAATGCTTTACTACAGCCTCTAATGTCAGACACCCACAGAACAGCTGTGGCTCCGTGGGTAAAATAGTTGTAGGTTCCGATCATAACCTGCAACTGAGCTCAAGGGCTTAGTTGTGCGCCTGAGCAAGGCACTTAAATCCACGTTGTCTGTCTGTGTATCAGTGTATAAATGTGTGTGTATGTGTGAGTACAAATTGGTGAATGTGACTTTAATACAAAGTGATTTGAATGGTCAAAATGATTGGAAAAAGCTGTATGTAAGTTCAGCCCGTTTATGCCGAGGGTATGCAGGTCTAATTATTGACTGCTATTGTCCTGCGATGTTTGGATGCATACCTGCTCCAACACACCTGACTGAAATGGATGATTTATGACAAGGCCTTTACAAAACTCACTGGCTTTCCAAGCAAACAACTCAGCCTTTTGATTCAGGTGTGTTGGAGCAGAACTGGTCTGGAGTTGCAGACCCATGTTTTATGTTAAAAGTAAAAGCTCTCCAGTTGGGCAAATATCAGTATGATTCAAAAAAGCATTTCAACAAAGAAAACACCACAGATAATCTCTCACCTCAAAGTAAAATTTTCCAGCATAGACGTACTCGCCAGGAAGATGTAAAAAGTTCCCACATCCTCATTCTTTAAGGGTTTGGAAGACGTTTGGATCATCACAGCACCTCCCAGCCTGAGCCTCAGGAAAGTAGGGTTGCCTGATTGAGTTTTGATAAGAGAGACACTTCCGATCCTTCGCAGAGGCGTTCCGGATCCCCCAGAGTCTCTCCCTCTTCCCACTCCCACTCGTTGCAGGCTGTCTTGTGGAGCACACTGGCCAGACTGGTCCCTTCTGCTCTGGAAATAGATCTCCACAAGATTTCCTCGAAGGCCCTTCATTGCTTCAGTTTTTTCTGCTTCCTGACTCGCGCTTCCAGATCTGCTTCCTGAGCTGAACCAAGATGGTTCTGGCTTAAGCTGAGCCACACAGAATCCCCCTGGAGAAACCAGACAAGCTCCTCTGACTTCCTTCGTCTCCCAGAAGGCATAGGCTGTCACACAGTGCGCGTCATCCTTGGCCTTAGCCTCATTATCTCCATTAGAGTCCATCATTTCTTGCCTGAAAGTGATATTGCTTTCTGTGGGCATGTGGAAAAGAATCTTGACAAATGGGTATGAGGATCGAACCTGACGGACCAAAAGAACTCCAAGGATTTTCCGTCCGCTAAGGAGGAGATCAGGAGGAATGGTGGCATCTACAGCAAGGGGGCCAAAAGAAGCCTTGATAGCTGGCTGGAGGAACCCAGCTCCCAGACTGCTTATGAAAAAAGTCTGAGTCTGAACTTTGAGACTTGAGTTGCTTGGGGTCCCTGTACCTTGTTCCAGAAACACATGGTCTGCATTGAAGATCTGAAATTTGATGGATGGGTAAATAGGTGAAGGACTGGGGAGAGCTCCAGCATCTTCAGCTTTCTGACATCCTGCAGCTGAAATGGAAGAATTTACATGGATTAATTTAAAAAGGACTCGAAAAAATTACAGTTTATACTATTATATTGTGAAGGTGTCAACTGATTTCAGTCGCAAGTTTAGTCTGTGACAAAAGTTTTTTTTTTTCTTTCAAATAATTTCAGTTATAAAATATGTTGAGAAAGTATCATGGCCGGAATCATACTTTCCGTGCTCATCTGAGAGACTGATGGCTCAAGGACAGTGAATTACTTCAAGTTATTTCACCACGAAAGATTTTTAGCAGGTAATTGATTATCCAATAATATTGTGTAGTGAGGCAAGCCTCAAAAGGGGTTGAGTTTGAAATAAACTGAACTATGTTTGAAATAGTTAAAGCAATGGTTTCTCAAATGAAAACAAAAATCAAAGATTGGTAAACAGTTTTCTAATGTAGTATCCTTCCCTACAATAGCTGAAAAAAGAGATTGGTAAGAAAATTAAAACAACTAATTGCAATATCAGCTTTATAATCCATAAATTGATCTGGCTCTTTAGAAGATGAACTTAACAAATTTTTTCATTTTCTGTGTTGTTATTAACGTGCATTAACAAAACCAACTGGAACATCAAAAAGGAAATGTCTTCAAAGAAAAAGTTGAACAAATGCTGTATTAAACATTTGAGAACTACTCTTTGTCGCCAGATGTTTGTGCCATCGAGTTTAATAAAAATGTCACTTGGTCCCTCATTATTCCACCCCAAAAAGCATGAGAGTTGCGTCTGAGTTTACAGGCTTGTAAACCCAGCTGTTTCAATATATAACTCATGGTTTATCACATTCTTGCACAGTAGTTAAAGTCCAGACTGACAGAATGAAGCAAGCAAAGATGAATGTAATTTAAGGCATTCGTTTTAGCTTTTGATTTGTAACTCTAGATGATGATAGTGCTGCTAATCAATAGATGCACCATTTATTGATCTGATGACTTACTGAGTTTTAGTTGGAATGCATGGAGTGAGTTACATTAAAAGTTAATGAGTTTAATATGCACAAAGGGCTCCTTATTATTTATACACACACTGCACACATATCTCATGCATAACAATAATCAAATATTAGTCTTTTCACAAGATATATCAGCATTGAAACATGGATATCGCCAGTTTGCTGCTTCTTCACAGCCATTGATGCAGGTTATCTTTAAACAAGCAGAGAAACAGCTGTGCAACCTCAGCTCCAGGCCTCTTTAATCCCACAGATGAAGCCTCCTGATGCACACTGGAGAGCCTGCTGTCACTTTCATTTAGACAGAGGGATAACAAAATGGGATGAGGCCATGGGTTGTAACCACAAACCCACGCAAAGTCGGAATTCATAACCTGACAGCTGCATAAATCAATAAAATAAGGACACAGATCTGGGATTTCAGCAAAAACGCTTTGAGTGGTCATCAAAAAAAGGTCTAAAATCTATGTAATGCATGTTCCATTGTGTTTGAGTGTTCTCATTCGGAGACAAACACTTTCAAAAACACTGCTTTGCATGTACAATAGTATTAAACATTTCTGAAGCCTTCACTTTCAACCCATTTTTACATAAAGCAAATGTTTTCATCTCAGGTTGTCTTCAAAATAAGGACATCTGTTAAAACAAGATGTAGACACAAAATAACGCTTTGTTTTATCTCATAATGGTCTCACCTTTAATAGCTGTAAGAACTCCCACAAATGGAAAAAGTGACCTGAGGGAAAAGTTGAACATCATTTCAAAAAAATTGCAAGTTCTTGTTATTCTCTGCTCTGAGCTCCAGTGTGCACACGCTTAAAATAAGTGCAGGATGGAAGTCATAACATTATCTGGTGTCCAGTTGAGTCACTTGCTCTGATTGCAAAGGATGAAACAAGGAGAAATAAAAATTGTTACACTTTCACATCCACCTAAATCTTCTCCCAGACACAAGTGGATCAGTTTTAAATGCTGCGTCCCGTTTCTTGCTCTTCCTTTGGGAGAGAGGCTGATGACTGATACCACAGGGCAGCATCAGATACGACTTTCCATGCTAGAAAATCAGTAAACAGTCAGTCAGATTAAGCACACCCACGTGGGTATATAATCTGCCGGTATATGAGTGGGAGTTTGTAGGGGTGAGGGGAAGGGGGGCGGTGAGCAAATGAAACGCGCACAAGGTCGAAGGATGAGTGGTTTCCTCAATGGCAGTGGGTTTAACAAATAAACATTAACCCAAGATCCCTATTTTTATGTTTTATTATTTGAATATGTCTAAAATTACAGTAGCAAAGTTTTTCACTTTCTCTCTTACCAAATTTCCGTTTACAAACTTGCCCTTAAGTGAGTAAAAGCTCCAGATTTTCAATCCACATTGTCCTAGAAGAGGTGAATGTGGAAAACTGGAGTGATTTTGATTCCTATTCTGTATATACTTCATGATTTTGCCTATCCATCTGTCTGTCATCTTATGTTTCCACACAGTTGATTCTATGGGCAGTCTCGATATGACAGAGTGGAATCCAGTCACTCTTGCTCTGCACATTGATCTGAGCTTTGTATCATTCTAAGAAGTGTCTTGCTTAATAAGCCTGGTATGTTTTTTCCTAGCCTTTCCACTCTCCACTATCCCCCCAATAAGCACCCGTTGTCTGAACAAACTACTTGCATTATGTGCCAATTACAGCTCATGCACCCTGTGCCTGTATCATTACAAGGTGGCAAGAGTGCCAAGGTGTCATCATTAAGGATACACACATACAAGGTGAGTAAACACTTTCTCACTTGACTGGAGAGGCTAATTGGAATGAATATGTGACTTAAGGAAGACATTAGGTGATCTCTAAATGCTCGTAAAATTTTAGAAACTCACTTAGGAGCTTACACAGGATTTTACTGCACAAATAGCACTTGCAATGCCAAGGCAATAATACATGGACTGCATTTTGAAGCCATTGAGTTTTAATTTGAGTAGTTTGTCCATAATTTTTGGCTTGAAGTTACAATTAAAACTGACGGTGGCAGAGGCCACTGACAACTGAGTCTGGGAATATCTCCAGATCTCAGTTGTTGTTCCAGACATGCAACCTGCTGCCGGTGCTATTAGACGTGATAGAACGATGGTCAGAAGTGCTCTGTTTGGCTGCAGGAGTGAATGTAAAGCTCTTGCCAGATGGCTGAGAAGGTTTTGGAGGTCATTTTATTTGGAATAACACAAGTTGAGATCCTAAATGTTTACCGTGTAACTATTTATGAAACTAAATAGAAAGCTGTGACTCCTGGAGAAGTTAGAACTGATTAATGAATTACCTGAGTGACTACTGGTGGAAGCCAAAACCCAGTTAGAGATTTGGGAAATACACGACAGAAATTCACATTGTAAATTTGCAGTAATTTATTCGTAGTGGCTTTGCCAAGTCATGGTTTTAAATAGCAGCGTATTACTGGAAAAGGTTTGAGAGCACATTACTTAATGCCAAGAAAACTTTCATTTGATAGATTGAAATAATATCGTACTACATATAAGTGACTAAACTCCCTGTACATTTAGTTTGCATACTGTATTTCATACCAGGCAGGGGGAAAAAAACACTTTCTTTTCGGTACCGTACAAACTTGATCTTATCCATATCAGAGCCAGTGACACCTATTACAAAATGAAAAGCAGGATGCCAACCACAAGTTTATCGCTGGACTATTTCAAAAAGAAAAGTAGGTAAGAACTATAGAACAAATTCATCTTACCTGCACACTTTGAGGAAAACTTGAGGAAAATCCATTGTAGCACAAAGTGCAGCTAGAAAACCAGTACAGAAAACCCAACAAACACTTTCCTACTGTTTTGACTAATGAATGCATGCAACCCTTAGCTGCGATTGTATGAACTCATGTACTTCGCAGTAATGACTGGAAGGTGGAGAGGAGCAATTCCACTCAAGAAAGAAAACTTTTGCACATCCAGATTTAGCATGAGCAGCCTAGTAGTGTGGTCGGCTAAGGGTGAGAGGAAAGAAAGAAAACACTAACGCACTGACTCAGAAGTGTAGATGTACAGAGAAGAAGCTCAGTAAAACTGAAAAATGGTAGATGTACTTTCTAAGAGGAAACTAAAGCAAATGTAAAGGTAAACACTAAACTAGAAAACAATTGCTACACTGACGTGTTACTGTTTGCTGAAAATTTGACCTCATGAATGTTTTACCAGAAGGTTGAGTCATTTTGAGGTCTTTGTATCCTTTCTGTTCACTGAAGTCATCATGTGATTAGTAAATGTATTAACCTTTACTGACAGTAATCCAGCTCAGTGATGGATTGTGAACTACAGCAATATTCCATCTTAATAATTTCTTAATAACTCTTATTACTGCCCATCAGCTAAATGGCAATAAATTAATTCCCATCAATCCATCAAGGAAAGATGGGCTCCCTTTCATCCTGTTCATGGTGATGCATGCAAATCATACGAACTGATTAATTACAGAACAAGTACCCGGGTCTATAGCACTCATAAGAATTTAAGAAGCTCTCTGAGTGGAAATCATTGCAAACTGCCTCAGTATTTTCTGATCTCAGGGAGTGCTGGAGTCTCGTCTTTGAACATAAAGCTGTCGCCAGACCTTTATAATAAGACTTAACACCATAGCAAACCAGAGAAAGGCCAGTCTTTTAACACACTTCAGCCAAAGTCTGCAGACACCTTCCACTCCAAGCTGTCTCAGCCAAAGATGAATCACCAAGGCGAGACCTGTGGCCCAACTTCTTCAGTTCACACTCCTCCAATGATGATGAATGAATGCTCTTTTTGGATCACGGCTGAACATCGGTTTTTTGACCCCTGCGGGATGCCTCTAAGGGAGAAAAAAATGTGTCCTCGATCCCTCCAGCAGCGTTCCCTCCGGGTATTGGATTGAAAAGATAGTTTGCCTCCTGCCACCTGCTGTGAAATGCATCTGTGATGGAGGCGATGGAAAAATAAAGTCTTCTCTAACGCCTTAAAAGAAAAATATATATATATGGGCTTATGGAATCAAAAGAAACTTAGACGCTTTAGCTGGAAGCATATAAACATGGGGCATTAGTATCATGTTCACATAAAGGCCATAGTGGCATATGTATTTCCACAGAAACCAAGGAAGCTAGTTAGCAGCTGATTAAGTCACATTTTCCTGGCCCATTCCTTCATTAACTATTACAAAATGCTCCCACTGAAGTGGTGTATGGAAAAATTCAGAAAGCACTGGGTTACTTATCGGGAATATTTTTGATCTGATCTAAAGTGTCAAATAGGAATCCTGACCAAAGCATCTTTAAATGTTTTGCATTGTCTCTTAAAAAAATTTGTGACACCTGTTGTAGGTGTACAGTTTTTCTCCTCAAATTATTTAACTGCAATTAAATATGTTCCCATTTGTTCAAAACAGTCAGAACACATGTTGCTACAATCCTAGCGCTTCTAAAGCAATGATCTGCTTTAAATCATTGCTTTATGTTAATTGAAGAATCTGGTTATGACTTCGTATTGTTTTTTTTTTCATAATGTCAGGCATTTTGAACTGTTGCTGAAATGTGATATACAAATAAACCTGAATGATAGAATAAATTAAGTCAGACTTTAAATAACTTATGAAGTTTTAAGATGTTGCTTGTCAGAGAATTAAAATGCTTTTCTAACCAAGATACTCCATGTTAGAGCTTCAAATGAAGACTGTGCCAATGTTGTGGCATTTTTTTCAACAACGATTGAGTTTTGAACATATATACAGAACAGGCTTTTAAAAAGCATCTACCTGCATTTAGAAAATGTCTAACATTTTAGCACTTTTAGTAGGTGGCATAAACTTGATTTCTATTACTTGATTCTTGTACTGAAACATATATGTACTCTTGAAAAGCATTAAAAACAGTGTTTTGAATGTTCATATAACCTAATTAAGAACAGGATTTTTTTTTTTTTTTACATTAAGCTGAACTCAGTAATGTTCAACAATACCGGTGACAATCCTGTTAAAAATAAACCTTATCAATAATGTTTGAATTGTTTCTGTCAGCTTTGATTAAGACAGCTGCTATCTCTAAACTCGATTGTCATTTTGTTTCACCATAGATATCAAAATCCTTCAAAAAATATATTGTGAAAACTATTTTGTCCATATTGGCTTAGCTCTAACCCCGACCGTCCTGCTCTTGAATTTCTTTTATTAACACTAGAATAGATGACTGAATATGTGTATCTCTGCACACGAGAACTTCTTCTCAAAAAACTGATCGACTGATTTAGGCAGTCTGTGCATTTTCTTGAGATATCGGACGAGAAATGCTTAAATGACCCAGAAGAGGAATATGTATAGTGGTTGGGTGTGCTTTTTTTGTTGTTTTTTCAGCTCAGCTGCAGAGGAGAGATGATAAAGTGGATACGGGAACAATAGCAGGTAAGGGTGATTGGCACGAGCTGTGGTGTATTTCTGCTCAGTCTCCCTGTTTTTAAGTACAGAAGCGGGCTGAGGCCAAACAAAGGGTGACTAGATGAGTGTCGACTCGGGACGATGACTGGCAGGCACAAATATCACCACACTTGTGTTTCCTGAGAAAAGTAAAGTTAAAAACATTAGACTCTGCCAGAAGCTTCCAGGGGGCTCCTTGTGGGAAGTTATTTTTGTATGACAAATCAAATGATGGTCATATTGTAATGTTGAATATGTCTGAATTGTATTCTTTTTTTCTTTTTTTTTTCTTTTTGCTTTCATTCTTGTTTCTCAACCAAGTGTCCTGTAGATACACAAAAATATACTATGTCGATGGTACATCCATGATAAAGGTTTTCTATTAATTTAAGCCAACATGCCTGAAAAGAAATCTCTCAGTCTCAAAAGGTCTGTCCATATATCAAAGTCAAATTAAAATATTTTACCTGGGAGATCCCTGCTGTGGTTTTGACAGCATGAGGGTCAAATGGACGAAGAGTGTTTAACTGGCACTTTGAGGTTTTGTGAAAGGCCAGCAGGAGATGAATGTCTC